ATATATATATATATATATATATATATGAAATAACTTTTTAATTACGCTTACTATCATCAATGAAAATAATGCTTGCCAACATTACTTAAAGAATATTGTTTTATCTGTGTTACGTACAATTTAATTTAAATTTATTAAACCAATTAAACCAATAATTTGGGGTAGGAAATATTATAACTGGGTTCTCTACTTCACCTTTCAGAAAATCATTAATAATAGGAGAAAAAACTTTAGTTGACACAATTCTAGAATTATTGTGCATAGATTTTCACATGAAATAATGTGTATAACGAAAAATTCAATTTGTATGGGGTTATAATACATATGGGGAGGAGCAATATATGTGGATTGATTGTTTTGTACAGTACCTAGCTTCCCTATATATGAATTTTCCGGAAAACTATCTAAATGCTATGCTAATAGGTATCAAACTTATGTATACACGTGTGTTTTCTATAGTTTAACATGTTTGATTGTTTTTCTTGGCTAAATAAAACATGTTAATATTAAATTGTAATAATTTATGAAATGTTATTAATTATATTATAATATATTTATTACAATCAGGATTGTTCTGTGTGTGTAAAAATTATCAATATTCGAAGAATATGTTACTAAACGTTGGAGCAATCCAGAATAGTCTACATTTAATAAAATAACCTGTTGCCTGGAGAATGTACAAAATTAAAATCACTTCAAAACGGGTTATTAATTTGGTAAGAAAACTTATTAGACTCATTCAATGAAATGAAACGCAATAAAAAAGAAATATACAAAAAAATGCATTTGAAATTAATTTTTTATTTCAATGTTTAGCCATAATTTTAACAAATTGTGGCGTTTTTATACATAAAAAGTAATTAAATTTGTATATATTGGGATCAGTAATAAAATTTGCTATTTTTATGTACTAATGAACCAATTTTAAAGTAATTTTCAAGTGATTACTGGTGTCTTTAAGCATGTGCTTAGTCTCGTTATGTATTCAAACCACCCAATCGCATTAATGATTAAATTTATACATCAATATTACATTATCATTTGTTTGCAATGAATTTTATGACAACATATTTCCTTTTTATTGTGAATTATATTATAGTTTACACATTTCAGTTAACTAAATACATATTTTAATGTTAAATTCTAATATTTTATTGCCAGGTACATGCTGTGTTAGTATATTCATTATTTATATTTAGATATATAACTTGTTTTAATTTACAACAATGGAGGTATTATTGATGTATGTATACCTACCCTAATAGCAATCAGACTGCAAAATGTAAAAGCTTTTGAGGCATTTCGTGTAATTTATTGTGAAATTAAATTATCACAAAATACGTAATGTTTATGAAATTTCTATTTTCTTCGTGGTCTGGTCGTGTAGGTATACATAGATTGTTGTTGACAACTTTTTTCTCTTGAAACTCGGTATCCTCACTTTTTTATCGGTTCATGGTCTATTTTCTTCCAAAACAGCATTTTGTTCTCTTTTTTATAATGTGCTGCAATACTTGCCGCTTGCACCAGACATGTTTTTTGACCACGACAAAGGTTCCTGACTATTGCCCTTAGTGATTGTTTTGCAAAACAGAAGGCGATGTTGTTGAGATGATGGCATTTGTTTTATTTTGATGAAGCTAGCCTTGAGCCAATGCGGGCGTCAAGTGTGCGAGGTACGGTTTGAGGACGGTCGAGTATCTTGTTTGCTTTTGTGGGCGGGAGTCTCAGAGGTGAGGTGTCTCCACAGGGTTTGTGGCGAGGTCAATCACTTCTTTAAATAACTGTAGCAGGTAGCTTTGTCATCAGGGGGCGTGAAATTAGACGGGACAAATTGTGAATGGCCTAGATTTTAAAAGTACTTTTTGAATGTAACTGTTATTTAAATACGGATTTTGAAGGTTTAGAAAGTGCAGCCAAATATGTTTGTTATAATTTCATATTTTTAGGTGAAAAATGCTTGCATATTTTTTTACATTTTTGGGCCATATGCAGCCGGACTCTGCTAATACCAAACCGAGCGAGGAAGAGCGCGACCCGGGGCCTGGGTCTAGGCGGTGCGACAGCGCTGGAAACGCAATTATCGTGAATAAGCAAGGTCCGAAAACCTTTGACTAGATTTATTTCCTCTCGTGTGAGATTTTAAGTATGAGAAAGCGATATAAAAGTTTGTGTAAAAAATAATATATTTCAAAAATGTTTTAATGCACTTCAATTGTTGCTTAAAAGAGTAACCATACAATCTAAATTTCTTGTAAATTCAAAAGTTGATGCAATTTTCAGATTGCATATAAGTAAATATTTTAAGAAAGAGGAGTAGAAGAAATGAAAACATAAAACGGAAAACTAAGAAAATATAGAATATAAACATGGATAGGGAAATGCGTGATAGCAGTGGACTACAAGTGCAACACCTATTGTTGTAAAGTCTTTATCACCTACCTTTGATAACTCTGTC